AAAAAAAAAAAAAAAAAAGACAAAAAGTAACAAACGCTGGCAACATGAAAAAAAAGGAAAATTCTCATTTAGTATTAGTGAGAAGGTCAATTAAATGTACAGCCATTATCGAAAAGAGTACAGAGGTTCCTCAAAAAACTAAAAATGAATCTACCATGTGATCCAGGAAATTCATGACTGAGTATATATCTAAAGGAAATAATATCAAGAAATCAAAGAGATACTTGCAGGCATATTTGTTGCAACATTATTTATAACAGCCAGTGTATGGAATCAACCCAACAGTCCATCAACAGATCAACGAATAACAAGGATGTGGTATTTATACACAATGGAACATTACCCAGCCATAAAAAAGAAGCAATTTCATCATGTGCAGAAACATAAATGGAACTGGAGGACAAGGCACAGTAAGATAAATACTCATGTCCTCACTCATATGTGGGAACTGTGAATGTTGATTTCATGGATGTGGAGAGTAGAACAGTGTTCACCAGAAGGTAGGAAAGGGAAGAAAGAGGGATAAAAGGAAGTTGAGTTTAAGGTACAAACATACAGTGAAATAGAAGGAATAAGTTCTAGTATTCTATAGCATAGTGGGTGACTACAATTTATTACAACTTATATTTTTACAACGAACAAGAAAAGAGACTTTTGAATATTCCCAATACAAAGAAATGATTAATGTCTAAGGGAATAGAAAGGCCCAATATCTTGATTTGACCATGTTACCTTAAATTCGTGTGCCCATAAATATTTACAATTATTAATAATAATAGTTAATAAAGGAGAAAAGTAGGACTTCCTCAGCCAGCTGTTTTCTCTCTTATTTTCTGATCCTATTGTCTTTCTCTGTAGATAATCAAGCCTTTGGGACCACTGACATTACTTGACAGCTGCTCATACCAGATTAAAAATGGTTCCTCAACACAGGCCGGGGTCTAAACACTGCCCCCAGAAGAACCTCAAAAGGATGATTCTTTTCAGCCTGGGTCCCTTCACTGTAGGGTAAAGTGATAAAAGAAATATCTGTACTAGTTTACTTCTATAAGTGAATTGGTGAAGAAAAAAAAAAATAAGCCATCTTGCCAGTGATCCCGTTAAGCCTTTTTAATTGCAAAATTCTTTTTTATGGTATTGCTGACCCAGGCTTAGCAGAGTTCATTTCAGAAATGTGCTGAAGTGGGTACCAGCGCTGACAACTAAGGCTGAGAAATGTTTTAAGTATCACGACTCTACATTTTTCTCCTGTCTGCGAGGTTCAGGGATTCATCCTGTGTGAATCATGCCTGCCCTTCGTTTATGCATGAATAAGATATTTCAGACACGGAGGACACAGCCCAGCCACCAGCCCTTCCTGGAAAAATAAGACCTAGACCTCCAATCAGGGTGAGAACACCGACCATCTCCAGTGCCAACTAATTTCTAAATGTGAATAAAGACACATTGTTTAGCAAGCTTCCTCCCAGTCTCCTATTGGCCCCTAACCTTTAGCAAGACAGAAATGTCACATATAATGGATCCTAAAATTAATGACACATTTTGCTTTTCAGTTGATCAGATCAGCTGAGAATAAGGTCAGTGTCTTATTTCCCCAGGATAAGAGGCTGTCATTGTTTGAGTGCATTTAACAATACCACAGACATTCTGCCTCAGAAAATATCTGATAATTTAGAAGCTCAGAACATGCATCAAGAATCAACCTGCAAAAAGTCATTCACCCTTGTCCCCTCACTTCTAACAGGGGCTGCACTTAACACATCTTTCTGATATCACATAGAGAAATCTTGTGATGGTTAATCTTTGTTTGCTTTTGATGTTTTGGTTTTTCAAGACAGAGCTTCACTATGTATTTTAGACTGGCTTTGAACTCACTAGGTTGCCCAGGCTAGCCTCAAACTCCCAGTAATCCTTCTGTCTCAGCCTCCAGAGTGCTGGGATTAAAGATGGGCAGAGCACCACACTCGGCTAAGTGATGGTTAATCTTGATAAGTCAACTTGATTGGCTTGAGAGAGGCCTAAGGGATTGGTTGGTAAAGCATACTTCTGGGTGTGTCTTGGTGATGTGATGTTGGGAGCTATCTCTAGTCTCCGGGCTTGTTCTTCCCCTGCTGTCTACTTGCTAGCAGCCAAGAGTTAAGCAGTTTCCCTCCATCACACCCTTCCACAATGATGTTTCTGCCTGAGAGCCAGCTAACCATGGATTGAAACTTCTGAAACCATTAGCCAAATATACGCCTTCTTCCTTTAAATTGTATCAGGTATTCTGTGCCAGCAATGGAAAGCTAATACAAACCTACTTTTTACCAAGTGTTACTCATCCATTCATAAGATGACTATTCACTTGCCACATGCTTTTACAGAGGTGGTAATTAGGGAGGAGGGGGAAAGTCTGGAGAAATGTTTTGGAGATTTAGTGCAGGATTCACTGATGGATTTGATGTGAGGCTGAGGGAGTCAAGAATAAGGCTCAGGTTTTCAGCAGGTTCATGGTATATTGGACCCACTCGCTACTTTAGCATCTGAGATTATAGTTTCAAGCAAATGACACCAAATGCATGACCAACTGCACCGTAAATTTGAAAAGCACCAGAGGAAACTGGTAAACTATGGTCAGGGAAATCATCATGCTTCTGACTCCATCCAGCAGAGTATTCCCAGAGTGCGGTGGAGCTTGCCTCCAAGTAAGAGCACCCTCCTAATGAGGCCGAGCAAGGGCACATCCTCATATGCTCTTAAAGCTGGAAGGCACACAAATCAGGCAGTGGGCTGGGGGCTGTGTGCTGTGTTAAAGCAAAGGGACAGTCTGCACCGGGGACATTAGCCACGGCCACACATGGGATTGCTCAACGATGTATGACAAGAAAAACCAGCCATCTGAGTTGAATTTTCAACTGGAGCCTAAGAGGCCAAATTTAATCATCCACATAAAATTATCATACAAGTCAATACTCCCTTCCTTCTCCTTACAAAGAAAAAAAAAACTAATGCTTCATTTTTCAGCCGAGCAGGTGGCCTTGAGGCAGCTAACCAGCTGGCTGGAATCTAAATACATTGGCCAAGACAAAAGGCAGCAATGTGATTGATTATCTTCTCATTGTATGAGAAGAGAACCTCCTCCAGCCAATCAGCATGCAGAACCGCTATCAGCTTATCACTGACCAAAACTACACTTAGAGCTGATAATGAAGCAACCCAAATCCCAGGCCCCGATTGGCTAAGGGTTCATCTACCAGCTCAGTTCTATTTAATGCATTGATTTCTAACAAGGTTCAGTTAGTTTCTTAGTTGTTAAGCTCCGGCTTACTTTTTCAGACTCTGAATAGGTATCCACACTCAATCCTTTCAATATATCTGCTGCAGAGCTGGAACTGACCTGGCCCCGGAGGGAAAGCTCTTCTCCAAACATCTTGAATGTTCATACTTCTGAGTGGCCCATAGGTTCCTCCCAAATTCCTGTGCTTTCCCTAAGGAAGGAAAAAAATGCCTGTATACATCCCATTTAATAGGAAGCCATAAAGATCTCATCTGACTGGTTTCCAGCTAGCGAGGCGTCCTGGCTTCCTGAGACAGGGGAAGGGTGGCACCTACTCTTCAGGACCCTCACTCTTTATTCCTGGTCCCAACATAGCTGGTGATGCTTGCTACTGACAGAAGTTGGTACTTGTGCTTAAGAAAAAAGCCTCGGAGCCAAAAGCTGTTATATGGGCAAAAGGAGTCAAGAGACACCGTTACCCTGGAGACCCTTCTTTCCACAAAGCGCAAGTCCTAAGCTTAGGGTCTTCTTGCTGGGACTCTGACATCTTTCCTCTTCCAGCTCAAGAAGGTTGTTTTACTTCTCAAAACGGACCATCAAACTGGCCATGGCGGCACGTGCCTATAATTCCAGCACTCTGGGAGGCTGAGGCAAGAGGAGCAAGTTCAAGGCCAGCCTGGGCCACTTTAATGACTAAGTGAGACCCTGTCTCAAAATAAAAATAAATAGATAAATTTTTAAATGACAACTCTGAGCAGCCTCCCATCAGACCTCTCCAAAATGTTTCCTTGTTGATCAGGAGACTTCTCTCTTCAGTCGGAGAGATTATTTGCTAAGTTATTTCTCTTGTTTCAGAGAGAAGCTGAAATTCCTATGGTGACTCTGACCATGAAGGACATCACAATAGCTGTGAGGACAAAGTAGTGCCACCTGAGAGGCACCACCCTCCGCCTAGAAATAAGAGCCTCAAGACTGTAGGCAAGAACTCAAGCAATGGACAGGTGTAGTGGTGCATGCCTATAATTCCAGTACTCAGGAAGCTGAGGCAGGACTTCATAGTGAGTTCAAGGTCAGCTTGAACTACATAGTGAGACCTAGTCTCAAAACAAAAACCAAAAATCAAAAAAATCTTACGCAAGCCCAGGAGGAGAAGGCAGAGGGGCCAGGGAAGCATCACTCATCCAGCACCGACTGGAGCTGCGACATCACAGGAGGGCACAGGAGGCTCTGTTTGCATTCTCTCCCTGCTGTGGGGCACAAGCACAGATCCATCTCTGGAGAAAATGTAAGGAGAGAACTCCAAGGAGACGTAATGGCTCAGCTGGGAGGCTCCATGCAGAGCAGCTTCCTGGAGCCTGCTCTCCCCCATCCCCATTTACCAGGGGAGAGCCTCGAGATAGAGACTTGAGACCAAGGGGGCAGACAAAATGCACTTCCTCAGGGGACCAAAGTGCAGTCACAGTTCTGTCTGCAGGAAAGAAAGCGTAGAGAAGAGACCAGGTAGTTCTGTCTTACATTGGCTTTTTCAAATGAAAGATGAGAAGGGAAAGAGGAATAAATGTCACACACTCAGAATCAAGAAAGTGATAAAGAACTGTTTGATGTCTTTTGAGACAGTATCTTTGTTTGTTTTTGAGGCAGTCTCCCTATGTAATTCAGGCTGGCCTTGAACACATTGTGTAGTCCAGTGTGGCCTCAAACTCATAGCAATCCTCCTGCCTCAGCCTCCTGAGTGCTGGGATCAGAGGTGTGTGCCACCACGCCCAGCTCCTTGAAACAGGTTCTTGCTTTGTAGTCCAAGCTCGTCTTGAGCTCACAGTCTCTCTGCCTCAGCCTCCCAAAGCCAACAAGCTCAGTAGTAAAGAGCTTTGTTGTCCCACATCTTCACAAGGCTTCAGCAACTGCTGCTGTCTCTGAGCCTTAACGCACCATCTAAGGACAGCAAGAATTAAGACAAAGACCTAGAGAACAAATCTGGGAGGACAGAAAGGGTCCAAAGGCAAAGTCTGGGACAAGCTCACTAAGCAGGTCTTATTTGACAAGGCCACTTAAGACAACTCTGAGCAGGTTCCCAGCCATAAGCTTATAAGCCCAGCTGTGACCTCCGGGAGTCAGAAAATTTTAGTTCTCCGGCCAGGGCAGTCCTTTAGGGCTCCTTCGGAAACTGCTTCCAAAGCTCAGGCAATGCACACAGGAAATGCCAGCAGCAGGGGCACCCTGCGCTGGTGAACCTGCACGCGAAGGTCAGACCCACTGTTCGTTTGAGGAAACTAAACAAACTCAGAAAGAGATAAAGAGCCTGCCGGTGTGGCACTGAAGGGAGCCCCAGGACTGCAGAGGGCAGCGGGTGGGGAGCAGGAGGATTCCCCATCAGAGTCGCTCTAGGATTTCCCACAGCCCTGGAGGCCTTCAGGTTGCCAGGAGGTGAGAGATGCGCTATAGGAAAAGGCCCGATGCAGAAGAGTCTCCTCGGTGAGGTCTTATTTCTGTAAATACAATCGTTCTAATTGCGCATTCTATTTGCACATCATTATACGCCTCAAACAATATGCAAGGATAAGCAGCGACTGTAACATCCGCGTTCTCCGAGGGATGAAGGACTCTCACTCTTAAATTATGCATATCGGGGTATTTCCGATTATTAATCAGTGTGTTCCGCCCACTTAGCCGACTCACCAAAGCCCTATACAGAGCTGCAAGCAACACACACCATGTACCACATGCACACACGAGTCACACACACACACACACACACACACACACACTGTAGACACCCTCACAGTGCATACCCAGACAGGCCTTCTGCAGTTCTTCTGCCCCCACCGACCTCCATTCCTTCCATGGCTTAAGCTGACTGGACTTCCCTCCCTAGCGTTGGGCTTCACCCTCGCACGCCGAGCGTTGGCGCTAACCCCGCGGGCACGGCCTTCACAAGGCCAACTGCGCAGGTCGGGGGCCAGAGCGGAAGTGACGCCTCTCCCCGCGCGCGAACGTGCGCTCTCCATTCCGGAAGCCGTGGCAGTGTTTCCCGAAAGTGCGTCCCAACAGGAGGAGGGGTATCTAGTCTTCCTTGGTTGTAGTCCTAAGAAGGCTGTCTTACCAGGTGAGCGCGGAACCTGCTAGCTGACCGAGATCTCCTCCCCTTTGGGGTTTCCTTCCAGAATCTGCCTACTCCTCATGGAAGGGGGCGTCAGATTTTCTGCGTCCGTTTTGACTGAGGAGCAAAAGCGAATTGGTTACACGAGGCCCCAGAATCCTTTATAGGGAGGTGGGGTCCACCGGACCAGGGAGAGGACTTCAGAGACCAGGTTGAGAAGTGCCCTGTGGGGTCTCCAGTCTCTTCTGCCCAGGGGTTTGGGGTGGATGTTTCACTCTTAGCTCAGACCTAGGGCTTCACGTCACCAAAGGGAGATGCAGCCCAGGAGGCAGACGCACGACTGCCCAAAGATGCCCGGAGGCCCGGATTCGGCTTTGGCCACAGGAGCGGGATCGAAGTATGAAAGAGGAACACATATCCTGGGTTGCATCATCGGCTTCCTGTCCGATTCGATTTCTGAGGATTGAAAGGAAACGCTTCTCTCACCTCACTGGGAGTCACTGTTTTGTTTTTTGTTTTTTTGAGACAGGGTCTCACTATGTAGTTGAGACTGACCTGGAACTCACTGTGTAGCCCAGGCTGGTCTCGAACTCACAGTGATCCTCCTGCCTCAGCCTCCCGAGTGAGTGCTGCGATTACAGGTGTGTGCCACCACGCCTGGCAGGAGTCTGTTTTGTGTATCTCTGAGTCTGTATATGAATATGAACCCTATGAGCCATCCCTTTTGCAAATGGCCAAGTATGGAGTGACTCTTTAACCTTATGGAAACCAGTAAAACATCTTGCAATTCTGGGAGGGAAAAATACTGGCTGTGTAAATGCCTCCTCCAATTTAGGATAAACTCGGTAATAAAAGCCTGGAAAAAATGTTAAAAATTACTCGCCACATTCTAGATTGAGAATCTCGGAGTCATTTCTTTAAAGGGTTGCAGGAATATTCCCCATCTGGGGGAGGAGATGGGAGTTTGTCAAATAGTTTTCAAATCATAAACTTCAAGAATTCTGGGGCGATCCCTGCCCCTGACTTCAGGAGGAGACCCCTGGAAACAGCAATATGAATGTTCTCGCGGCGCTTGGGCCTCATGGTTACACTGTTCCCCTCTTGCTCATGGGGTGAGCGGTGTGAGAAACCCCCACACGCTGGATGCGTTGCCCAGTGCCAGCCCCCCAGAGTGAGAAGACACTGGGACATCTGCCCTCCTAGTGTGCTTCCAGGAAATCAGTTTGGAGAATTAGCTATGAACCTAAGACAGTAGAGATTTCAGCAGCAAATGAAGTCTTAGGTGGCTTTGTTTCTGTTCTGTATGGCTTTTTTTCTAATCTCATGTTTTGCGCCTGATAACCAACATGTTAAATGTTCACCAGTAAGGTGCCAAAAGGTGAGTCAAAATGAGGAAACTCCAGGCCCTTTTGTTCTGTGGCACTATTAAGAACAGCACTAATAAGAGGAGTAAGTAAATTAGAACAGAGCATGGTGGCACAGATCTGTAATTCGGCACTAGGGAGGCTGAGGCAGGAGAACCAAAAGTTCAAGGGCAGCTTGGACTAACTACATAGTGAGACTCTGATAAATACATAGATTGAAGTATAGAGGAATGCATGGCACCTTGTATTTTCATTCAAAGGTCCTGTTGGTAATTTTTCATTTAGCAATGTTTTATGCTCTGTGATTTCTGTCACTCAACTAATGCAGAAGGCTGTGAGAAGGGAAGATGCAAGGGCAGCGAAGACAGGCCACTCTTTCCCACCATGGTTTAATTCTTACTCTCCCCCTCCAGTGGGTAAACACCTTTTCAATGAAGGGTATTAGTCACTGCCTCCCTCTTAGCATCTCTTTCAAAGTGAAGCTTTTCTACAAACTAGTCTCTCTAACCTGCAAATTCTGTCTCAGTGGATCAATAAGAAACTGTTTTTGATAAGTCAAATGTTCATTTTTTTAGGGAAAAAGTAACCCTCCCTGTCCAGGCTATCGAAATTGTGGCTTATGTGTTTGCAGTCCCTTGAGCTATCCATCTGCATTTCACTGCAGACGCAGCCCAGCTGTCTTGGTCAGTGTATGTTAAGGGCTTAGTTTGCTGGCTTCTTAGGAAAGAGATTTAACAGTTGCACATGTTAGATGTAAAGGAACACCCTTCTCCATTGAAAGAGAAATTTTATTTCTCAGGGAAGAAAAAAAAATGCAGCATGTAATCACCAGGATGCATTATGAACCTGCTATGGTGTGTGGGATTTATGACCAAGGTCTTCTCTTCCACAGGCTTCTTCAGCTGAGGGCGGAATTACAGAGCGCGACCCTACGAGTTTTCCGAAGACCTTTGGCTCCATCTAGTGGCCCGATCCTGTTATGTCACCCCCAACCTTTTTCTCCTGGAATTTGAAGAGAAAAAGGGCTCTGGCAGAGGGAATTCGAAAGCTCCTACTGTAAACAGGCTTGGCAGAGCCAGAGTTGGCCCACACAGTAACTGTTGTGCCTCAGAAAGCTGAGCTGGGTGCATGACATTTCCTCACTGGCTCCCACAGAGAGGGCTGCAGCCGGCTTTCATGGCATTCTGAGAGGAGCCATTTTCCAATGTGTCTGGAGAGCACTTGTGCTGTCCCTGCTTAGTCATGTGCTGGGGCGCACAGGGGAGGTGTGTGCACGTGTGAGTGCACACGTGTGTGTGTGCACACGCTCTTGTGTATGAAGCATGAGAATTTCAGGGTTGTGCTGAGCTCTGCCATGCTAACTGGCATCAGGAAGAGACATATGCAAAATCATACTCCACACGGCCTCTAAATTTAGATAATCTGTCAATATCCTGCACTATGGGGCCTTCTTTCTCTACACTGTGATTTAAAGGCTTAAAAATAGAAACCAGATTCAGCCCATTGTAAAGCGAGGGAGGTTAATGGTGCTGTCCAGGACATCAGACATCAGCTCCCACTGATGTGGCCTCCCAGAAGCAGCAGCTCGGTTCACCCCATCTCTCTCCTCAACCCTACCCCTGCCAACAGACACAGAAGCAAAATGATCAGGGGCCTGCGTCCCCTCTCCTGCTCTGCTCCTCCCCAGGAGTGTATTCCTCACTTTCCCAACACTGGGACAAAATGCCCAACACCTGCACCTTGAGGAGGGTTTATTTGGCTCTTGGTTGAGTCCACAGCCAGCTGGCTCCAAAGAGTACCAGCATGGCAGACAGTCACAGCAGAGGAAAGCTGTCATCCATGGCAGCTAGGAAGCAAGGGAAAAGAGAGCCAGGAAGGAATACACCTTTCCAGGTCACTTTCCTGGTGACTCTCCTCTTCTGATCAAACCGCATCTCCTAACAGCACATTCAGCCATGAACTGATTAATCCACTGAACCACGCACCTTCCAAAAGCCCCGCTTCTGAACACATGAGCCTTTTAGATCTGAAGAGTAACAAGGAGCCACTCCTTGGCTATTACATTTTGGATCTTGAGTGTCCCCCATGGGCCATGTGTTGAAGTCTTGGTCCCCAGTCCATGGCATCCCTGGGAGGTTGTAGAACCTTGAAGACGTGGGGCCTACTGAGAGGAACTGTCCTTAGGGAGGTACCCTTGTGAGGCATAATGAGTCCTGCCCCTTCCTCTCCGCTTCCCGGCCTCTTCTGCTTAGGCTCTGCCATGAGGCATTGTGCTGCCACAGGCACGAGGTAACAGGGCTAAGTGACTGAAACCTCTGGCCCTGTGAGCCAAAATAATCCTTTTTTCCTAGTAGGTTATCTCAGGTATTTGTAATGGTGACAGGAACACTTTTGAGGAAAGGTTAACAGAAGCTGGGCATGGATGACATCTAAGGTCCCATGTCAGCCAGCACTTCTTTTTTTAATTAAATTTATTGGTGCATCTTAGATAGACATAATGATCCCATTCCCCATAGGGAATTTGTACCTGTAATCGATACTCTTGATCCTTCTATCCCATTCCCGTACCCTCCCTTCAACCCCTCTTCCCTTCCTTATTTGTAAAGCTTTGTTTCCATTTTTCCTTCTTTTCTCATTTTCTTTTCCTTTCTCCTGCCCCCCTCCCTAGTTCCTCTATGCACTTGAACACTTTCTTCCTATTTCACAATATCTATTACACATTTTGGCCCTCATTTACATTATACATTTCTCACACAAGAGAAACAATTTGGTGTGTCCGATTTATGTAACTTAAGAATATTGTGTCTAGGTGCATACATTTAGCTATAAATGCTTCAAGTTTATCTTTATGGCTGAGTAGTACTCCACTGAGTTAAAAAAAAAAACCCACATCTTCTTTATCCATTCATCAGTTGGTGGGCATTTGGGCTGTTTCCAACAGTGGATTTTTTTTTTTTTTTTTTTTTGTGGCACTGGATAGTGATTCTAGGGCTGTGGCAGCAAGCCTGCTGCAAACAGGACAAAGAGCAAATCCCTCTGTTGGCAGGAGAGACAAGAGTATGACTTTTTTCTAAACTACAGATGTCAGTATTCAGGTTTAATTGTGGTGTTGACACTTTGCAATAAATAAGTGGGTTTGGGCCTTCATTCTCTAAAAGGTTTGCCATCACTGCTCTAGGGCCTTCTCACTGAGCTATAACCCCAGTCCTTTTTTTATTTACTTATTTCTTTGTTTATTTATTATTGAGACAGTACGTTGCAAGTCACTACATTGCTCAGGCAGGGCTCAAATTTGCAATCCTCCTGACTCATCCTCCTAGAGTGCTGGGATTACATCGTGTTCAGCTACCACCCAGCACTTTTGAGTGCATGGAGGTGGGGTGGTGGTACAAAAGAGAACAAGAAAGCATCATCAGCACTGCAGGGCTCAGAATGGCTATGACAAGAGGTTCAGGCCACCATCTGCCTTAGGAGCAGACCAGTGACTAGGG